ATGTCAGTTTCACCTTAATTTTAAAAAATTAGAAATATGGATATTCTTGAGATCCTCTTTCCACATTTTAATAGAAAAGTACCATTGCTCTCTGCACTGATTATCTTGTGAAATTTTTCATTATTTTTGTTGGAGACTAACATCTGGTTCACTTTTTCATAATTTTGGGATATAAATGGGGTTGCCTTTTGCTACTTGTACAGAAAACCAAAGGCTAGCCAAGCTATACTGTTTTTGTCTATTTTGCTTTCAGCCAAGGATGTCTTTTAATGAATGGCTTTCACAAAATACTTGTATAAATGTCACTTATAGTTGCCCAAATAATCTCTAGGTGCCAGGAGTACCCTTGTTATGTTAATGTTTTATTAATTCTACTCAGTCACCATTTTTTGCGCCCAATGTATTAAGCGTGTCCTAGTCACTGGTGATAACATTAGTGAAGCAGACAGACAGGGAAGGGCCCTGTCCTCACAGAGCTTACGGTCCAACATGGGAGGAAACACAATAAACATAATAAATTAGTTATCTTTAGATCACACTGATAGCTCTGAATACAGTGAAACAGGATGGTGTAATTCAGAGCAACTGGAGGAGGTTGTTTTTTTTTTATTTTGTATGATTTTTGTAGAGGTAACATTGGTTTAACTGTGTGATTTAGGGGTATAGATTCACATCTCTTCAGATGTATGTTACCACCCCATACCCACCACCAAAGCAGCAACCCTCCACCACAGTCCAGTGGGCTCTCTCTCCTCTGCTCCCCATCTCCCACCAGGCCCCCTCTGGTAGCCTCAATTCTACAGTCCAATTTCTAGGATTTGTTTGGGTTTAGTTTTGTCTATTCCTTTGTTTCATTTCATTATATTCCATGTGAGTGAAATCATCTGATTTTTTATCTTTCTGGTCATAAATCATCAATACAAGGAGTGAAAATGTGCAAGAAAAAACGGTCCTTAAAAGTTAAACTTTTTAAAAGCTGAAGTACCTGTATTTCATCTCACTCTGCCATTCCTCCAACCACGCACCGTATATCCAGGTGAGGGGATACCTAGCCACAGGGTGCGTAATCAGAAAGGAAGAAAACTGGTCACTCACATGACTGCTTCTTAAACAGTTCTCATTATGGGGGGTCAGCAGTACTTTGAGGGCACCCGACTCATACTCTGGCTCCTCAGGTTCAAGACCAGGAAGCTTCAGAGAGCACCTCGGACTACAGTTACTCACTTAGTACCCTGGGGTCCTCCTCAGGCCAAACACCAGTTGATTCTTAGGTGCTGTGTGCCTGGAAACAAACAGAAAGACTCACAGAACAGGGGCAGTTAGTATTTATAAAATGGTCAAGGTTCATTGTCCTTGAACAAAAGTATAGAAAATAAGTGGTCCCTTTTCCTTATATAGAATATAAGTGCCATGAATTAAACATGTTTAATTAACATTTGAAAAATGTATCTCTTAGGTTAATTAACAGAAATATTTCAGGCTTGATATTATTGATTTGCTTCTCTGCTATTGAATTTTTTAAAAAGTTACTTCTTTCTTGGTTTAAAGGTAAGCCTTATTTCACTTTCAATTTTTGAAGCATAGGCATAAGAGAAATTAATTTATTCTAAGCTAAGTGTTTACTCTGTCAACCATAATTAGCTAACATGGTTTCAATTTACATAATTTGTAGAATCTCTTATTTAGATAGTTAACAGGTTCAGAGAGTGTTTATTCCTAGAAAAGGTGACTAATATGAGGATCAGGATGCTAATAATTCTCAGAGTCCAGGATTATTATGTGTGCCTCATTTCAGGGCTGTGGACACTTTTCTGTAAAAAGTTGGATTAACTAATGTGGCTCCAGTATAGATGGGGTGGTGTTTATGGGGTGGGTGTGTTTGTGTGTGTGTGTATTAACCAAAAATAACAACTCAGGGCTTTTATTTCTTTAACTTGGAGCATTGTGCTGGGAGATGGAAGTCACATGTATCACTATCAATCTGGCTTTCCTTTTTTTTTTTTTTTAAAGATTTTATTTATTTATTTATACAAGAACCTGGGTGCAGGCCAGATGTGCAGGAGGGTGAGAGGATTCACCAGAGACAGAGTGGGGAACAGAACAGGCAGACTGACAAAACATACTGCTGAGGGGAGCAGCAGGTGAGACAGGAGAGGTCTGCTGCGCCATGTGGGACTTTCATCGGCGACCAGTATCCAACTGGCACTGCAGAGACTGCGGACAGCTTCACGGTGCAGCGCTCAACCACCTGCGCCACCAGGGGAGGCCCTTTGAAGACCAAGCTCATTGATTGCTGTTTTTGACCATTGAGTTCTATGGAATTTCTCTTTTACCTAAATTTTTCTTAGATAGGTAGCTACTTGCATTGTGTTAGGCTTTGTAGTCATTTATTTGAAAAATACAACTAGATTTGGTCAAGGTCTTCAGGTGCAAGGAATCTGTTACATTTCCAGAGTCTGCCACCTGTATTCAATAAAGCCATAAAGTAAGCTCGACAAGGAGACTTGCTCTGTTGACTTCACAGGGCTTATTGATTCATGCCACAGATATTTACCCAGTACCTCTTATCTGCCAGGCACTGCTTAGGCTTTGGGCATAAAGAGGTAAGAAGATAAGCAGGACTTGCTGGCACTGGTGAGGAGCTCAGAGTCACAAGGAATGGAAAGGCTCATTCAGTTTACTTCAAGCAATGGACCATTTTTCGTGTACATATATGTCAGGATTAAAGACTTGAATCAGTTATTATTCTGGGTCTCCTGGGAGCCAAGGGACTAGAACCAATCTAGTGGAATATAGTTTGGGAAATGAAGGATCTCTGGTGAGGCAAGATGAAGATATTCATGGAAACACAGGACTCTAACTTTTCCATGGGGAGGGCATTTGGGAGAAAGGCAAACCTGTATAAATATTCCTGTATTTTTTTTTTGAAGATTTAGTGAGATCGTAGCTCATAGTACTATGCTGGCCATCTAGAGGCTAGAGGGGTAGGAAAATGTCTACTCTATTTTGCACCAAGGCCTACATAAGCTTTTTGTAAACCTTCATTTTGCCACTATCAGCTTGCAGTCTCTATTCTACATTCCTGTAGCTGAAGCTTTTTGCATTGTCTCTATTCCCTGTCCTCTGTTACTTGCCCAGGGTACTTTCTTTACACTAAGCTCTGAAGCTGTGAGAAGGACTGTGACAGTGTCCAAATAAATGGATGGAAGTTGTTTTCCTTTTATTTGGTAAAACACACATAACATATAATTGACCCGATGAAAGATTTTTATATAAGTGATTTGTGACTATGCAAATATATGGCTGAATCATTTTTTCATATAATGGTCAATTTGGTATATAACATAGTCAATTTGGAGAAAACAATTTTACTATTATAATTTAATTGGGTTTATAAGTTATTCATAGTTAATTTCTAATAAAATATAAATTAATATGAATGGAAATATTTACCTGTTATTGTGTGATTTTCAACAATCAGCATTTCCACTTTTTTTCTCTAGGGGGGAACATTTTAGTGCCAGACTGTGCTCCTAGCTTCATTTTCTCCAGCTTGCCACAATGTGGCTATGGGGTCTAAAGCAAATTAATGTTATCACTCAGCCTTACTATAAAATTTCCTCATCAGCACTATGACAGTGCTGACATTTAATAGCATAGTTGCAAGGGTTAATGTAAACCATCTGACACAATATTCTCCTAGAACTTGTTCCTATGTGTACATGTTTTCATGTATTTATAACCATAGTGCTAATAAAATTTTTTTAAATGTTTCTTTTACTTTGACTATTTCTACAGTGTAAACAATTTTTATAATTACTATTTGAAAAGTATTTAAAAATACTCTTGTAGACCTATCATGTTCTGTCACCCAAAATATACAGTGTAGATCATTATGTCCCTTTTGTATATAATATTAACCATGAACTTCTCTGCTTCTCTCAAGAAATAATTTTTTTTTATTAGACCCTCACTTTTTTAAAATTTTTTAAATTTTTATATTCCCCATACAATTGCACCCCCCTTATTTTGACCCTAACCCCTCCTTTCCCCACCCCCCACATAGTGTGTCTCTGGTTCATAGTTGTTTGTTGATTTTGATTTTTTCTTTCTTATAGTTATTCTTTTTCCTGGTCCCTTATTTAGGTTTCCTAGATTCCTGCTATAAGTGAGAGCATCCGGTATTTTTCTTTTTCTTTCTGGCTTATTTTGCTGAGCATGATCCCTTCCAGCTCCATCCATGTTGCTGCAAACTGAGACCCTCACTTCTTGAGATAACTGTAGGCAAAACCAACAAGAAACACCAGAGCTAAGCTGAGTTTGGGAGTGGGCAGATAATGCACTCCTGCATGCCATCCGAAACTGCAGCCTTCAGTATATAGATTGTATGTCTTCGACCTTTTGGGTTGCACAAAGACTGTTAAAACCACAAATATTAAACCTAAAGATTGTCAAGGTTATACTATCCATTACCTAGTGGTGATTTTAGTATACATTAGAATTTTAAATTTGGTTTCTTAATTCTTTCATTGTAGAAGTGAAGGTGAATAGGTGTATATGTATATTGCTTTTGCCTTCTCTGGTAGTATTTCTTTAAATTTCTTTTCTCTGAAATTTAAATTTCTCTACTAAAGAACACAACCCTTTCATGGCATTTAATGTAATTGAACAAATTGTTCCTAAAAATACTATACAGATTTATAGTATCACTAGTTAAATAGTTTCAGCCACCTATAATTAGAGGTTTTTACTAAAGTGTTCTGGAGGGACTAATTTCACAGATGTAATATTTATTGTAATTTATATTTTTAGAAGCCAAATTCCTGGATTAGACATTCTGTTTCCATATATCTGTGGCATTTCCTCTTGGATTCATTATTCATTCATATTTTGCTCCTATTTAATTTATGGACTCAATTAACAATTTTGAGTTCTTTTCAGTTTTTTTTTGATAAATTAGATTTTTGTCTGATGACATTCTGTTTTTTTTTTCCTTTTAGCTCCAGTAATAAATCGATTTACAAGGCGTGCCTCAGGTAAGTCTGTGTTACAAATATTTTTTATTGATGGCGATATTTTAAAAAAGTGATAGTATTAGTCAAGAAAGTATGAAGGGAATAGTTGCTGTAGAGCAATGATTTGGTCAATCATTCTTCCAGAAGACTGCCATCTGATACAATCAATAACTAGGAAATAATTGCAAGGGTCATCTGAATGGCCTAATAAAACTGTATTTTGTACTGAGGGTGTTGTACTTTTTTAAATGGAGACTCTCACTCCTTGTTTATTCTTGTTCTGGCAAAAGGATAACCTGCCTGGTTATCTGATTTAGCAGCCACAATTTCGAAGCAGTGATTTAGAAGATGGGTAAAGGACACCCTCTAAACTGTGATGGATGAGAGTTTTTAATAAGGATAGATAGAAGAAATTGTCTTGATGTGGCTATTAGAATAGAAGTGAATTGCTTTACATTTGCCAGTGTTCTGAGGCTGTACCTGTCTTAAAGATACCACATTCTGATGCATATTCACTGTAATAAACCACAGCCATTAACAAGTACTTAAATTAGCTTAGTATACTGTGTGCCACCTAAATTGGTAGGGAAGTACAGAACACTGTTATGAGCATTTCTGTCATAAATGGCTTAAGTAAAATGTGTTTGGACATTGAAATGAATAATTATTTTTTTGAAAATTCACCTTTGTGTCCTACCATATTCTCTGAAGGTAGAGAATGAAGTGTTACTAAGTATGGTTCAAGAAAAATTTACTTTTTCAATATAACTTCAATAAAACTGCATTTTCTTGTTGAAAAACACAAGATAAACTTTTAAAACATCACATTTTATTTTTATATAATACAAATTGGTAATCTATTTCATAATATTACCTTATATTCTAGCTGTGCTATAGTGTTAAAGATGTTCTAAGGTAGAATTTAACTTTTAATTTGTCAGCAGTTACTGATATAATTTAGTGTTATTCTGTAGGAACCAGATCTGTCAGGACAAAGATTCAGGGATTAGGAAACTCTGCTATTGGGGGATGGTATGTATTTAACTCTCCTTAGCTTTAGGAGTAATTTCAAGGCATTTTTATTTTGAGTGCTAAAAACAAAGAGTAGATTGTAATGTCTTTTGTGGAGGAGAAATTATGTTTTTATCATTAGAGCAGCAAACTTTGTCCCAAAGTAGAGCTTTCAGGTATGACCACATAGCAGCATAGTACGTAGTCCGGGGACAGTGATGGCAAAGGGGAGAATAAGGGAACATCAGTAAGTATTGTGATATCTTGTCTGAATAATATAAAACTCCTTCTGTGGAGACATAGTTAAGAATATTAGAATAAATTGTCCCTTTTTCTGTCTGAAGCTCCATGACATGAGACATTGGTTTCTGGGCAAGTTGCATTCGTATTTGTTGCATGACCTACTTAGCATCAGTTGATGGGTATATAAGTTAGTTTTAAAATACCATTATTTTAGTCCCTGCCATCACCACTTCCATATCTGTGTGCATTGTATCTCAGTGAGATACAGTTGGAAGTGTAGAGATAATGGCATGCCAGCAAAGAAACAAAAAGTCAAATGTGTGTTTATTCCTAGAATGACAGGTAATAGGAAATGTCAGTGAAAACAACAAGAAACAATGTGAATTAATGGAAGATAAATCAGGTGATATCAAGTTCAAAGTCATGTTATATGGAGCAGTAAGTCTCAAAAGGAGTAAAAATCGTTATCTTAATAATATGACATGCTGGAAACCATTATGAGTGGAATCTTGACCTTGATTATTGGAAGGCAAAGACTAATTTATGGAGTACCATGATGGGTTCAGGTGCTGCTCTCAGCATTTTATTTTATTATTATTTTTTTTAATTTTTTTTCTAATAGAGGCATGTTTTATTTATTTATTTATTTGTTTGTTTGTTTGTTTTGTTTATACAAGCACTGGGCACAGTCAGAAGCGCGGGAGGGTGAGAGAATTCACCAGAGCGGGGGAGCAGAGCAGGCAGAAGGGCCGAAGTACACTGCTGAGGGGAGCAGCGGGCGGCAGGAGAGGTCTGCGCGCCATGTGGGACCCTCCTCTGGTGCCCAGGGAGCAGCCGGGGATCGAACTGGCGCCTCAGAGGCCACGGGCAGCTTCGCAACCCAGCGCTCAACCGCTGCGCCACCGGGGAGGCCCTGGTCTCAGCATTTTATATACATTTCCAATCTTTTTTTTTTTTTAAGATTTCTTTTTATTTATTTATTTATTTATTTGTTTGTTTGTTTGTTTTATTTATTTATACAAGCACTGGGTACAGTCAGAAGCATGAGAGGGTGAGAGAATTCACCAGAGCCAGAGCAGGGAGCAGAGCAGGCAGAAGGACCGAAGCACACTGCTGAGGGGAGCAGCGGGCGGCAGGAGAGGTCTGCAGGCCATGTGGGACCCTCCTTCGGTGGCCAGGGAGCAGCAGGGGATCGAACTGGCACTGCAGAGGCTGCAGGCAGCTTCGCAACCCAGCGCTCAACCGCTACACCACCGGGGAGGCCCTACATTTCCAATCTTTTAAGCAAGGGAAGGAAATCATATTTACTACCTTTGATAAAAAGAACTGAGGTATAAGACAAAATGAAAGGATTGGGTCCTAATTAATCATCTGTCTATAATTTACTTTTTTAAAAAAAGTCTATATAGAATATAGAAAACCTTTCACTGTGCTTTCCTTCTTAATTTAATTTAGGGCCAAATTTAGTGGTGGAGATATGGATCAACTTCTTAGGTAACATTTTTTGATAATAAAAATAAATGATTGTTCAAAATAGAGTAAGTAGGGCCTCCCCTGGTGGCGCAAGCGGTTGAGTGCTGCGCTGTGAAGCTGTCCACAGCCTCTGCAGCATCGGTTCGATCCTGGCTGGCCGGTGAGGGTCCCACATGGTGCTGCAGATCTCTCCTGTGGCGCCCGCTGCTCCCCTCAGCAGTGTATTTCGTCAGTCTGTCTGTTCTGTTCCCCACTCTGTCTCTGGTGAAGCTTCTCACTCTCCCACGCATCTGGCCTGTACCCCCGTTCTTGTATAAATAAATAAATAAATCTCAAAAAAAAAATAGAGTAAGTAATAGTTGATCATTAAAATATTTCTTGATAGCTTTCTTTAATAGTTTTATTTCAGAAATACTTTTTCTTTTCAGAGGCCAACTATAAAACTTTAAGACCTGTAATTTAGAAGAAAATAAATCAGATAAAATGAAGCAGAAGACTGTTGAAGAGTTTGTTCTTATTTATCTAGTAAAAAAATTGCAGCAATAATTGCTGTATGTATGTATTAGAACAATAAATACACTATGTGTAATGCTAACACATTCAATCACTGTTGAATGAAAAGAAATAATATGTTATAATGCATTTCTAATCTTTTTATTGAGTTTCCTTTGTGATTGGTTTTGATATTCATACTGTATTTATCAAAAATAAATATTTGAACCTGAATAATTGAAAGAAAACATTTCTCCCTTTTATGCATTTTTTTTTCTGGTTAGGGTTCATGAAGATGAGAGGAGTGTTTATGTTAAGAAAATACTTAAAAATATATTATTCAGAATCACTTTTATGCTTTTAATAATACTGTTTGTGCTAAACTCTCTTCATGTGTCTTCAGTGCCAGCCCACAAACCTGTCAGCTTTCATTTATGTAAGAGGAATCAGTTTCATTCAGTATTTTCAGACAAAGTACCTAGAATCTTTAGAGTCTGTAGAGGTTTCAGTGGTTCATAAACTAGTTGTCCACTTGGTTCAGGAGTGAAAGGCATGTGATGGTGTATGACTGAGGGAAACATAGATGGGTGTTTAAACAGTAGGGTCTGGCCTCCCAGGTTAGGGTGGGTAAGTTCAACAAACAATAAAACTACCAGATGTTTTCTGAAATCTGACTTAATGTATCTTTGGTATCTCCTTGACAGCACCCCATAACAGGGTTTTAATTTAGTTTTGAATTTTTTTATTAAGATATAACTGATACAACATTGTGAATATTTGATGTTTACAATGTGTTGATATATTTCTAGATTACAATATATATTTCTAGATTACAATGTGATTGATTACCTATGATCTTATATTCAAATAGCATCCCATCATCCTGTTTTTAGTTGTATGTTTATTTTGAAAATGATAATTTATTGCTTTCCCTACCACAATTTTGTGGATTTATCAGCACACCCCACCCCCCCACAACACACACACACACACACACACACACTCAAAGAGCAGAGTTTACAGAGAGCTTAGTTCAGGCTAAGAATGCAAGAGGGGAGAGGCTGGACCACAGTGGCCCTGAGTGTTCACCAGCAGGTCTGCATGGACATCTGAAACCAGCTCCCCCGCTTTGTTTTATTTATTTTTAAAAAATTATTTATTTATACAAGCGCTGGGTACAGTGAGAAGCGCGGGAGGGTGAGAGAATTCACCAGAGCCAGAGTGGGAAACAAAACAGGCAGACTGAAGAAATAAACTGCTGAGGGGAGCTGCGGGCAGCAGGAGAGGTCTGCGCACCATGTGGGACCCTCGCCAGTGGCCAGGATCAAACCGGCGCTGTAGAGGCTGTGGGCAGCTTCGCAGCCCAGCACTCAACCACTGTGCCACCAGGGGAGGCCCTCCCCCACTTTGTTTTATTGTTGTCGGAGGATGCTGCATTCCTCATACCCCATCTCACATCGCATATTTGGGTTGTCAGGTGACTGCGTAATCCTATGTTTAAACAAAAGAAAAAGAAGTGCTGCTTCTGTTCTTTCGATTGTTAGTGATTACTTCTTACCATACACATAGTTATATACATAATTCATTTTAGAAGTTTGATGAATTTTTTTTAAAGATTTATTTATTTATACAAGAACTGGGATACAGGTCAGAGGCACAGGAGGGTGAGAGAATTCACCAGAGAGAGCAGGGAGCTGAACAACAGTTTGGGGGTTAGTTTTTCTTAAAACTTCACTTTCTTCCTTTGTTCCTCCCACTCACATACACACACTTATTCTTTCACTTATTCTTTCACTTATTCT